AAAAAAAAAAAAAAAAAAAAATCGTTTGGTAAAACTAACTATTTGAAAATTAGCTGTTACTAATTTATTTATAAATACAATTTGATATTTTTAAATGTTACAATAATTACTAATAATTTATATTTTTTTTGTAAATTTTAAAAATTAACTTATGAGTCATTCTTTAAAATAAAAAAGGTAAATAATTATTTAGTGAAAAATGAATTAAAATTTACTTTAGTGTTTGTTATTATTTGAGTAATTGATACAAAATAATTGAATATAACTAGTTTTTGTAATACAAAAACATGTTACTATTGCTTCATGGGTCATGCTCCATGTACAACTAGTGTTGACAACATTAGTTGACAACACTAGTTATCACAATCATTGAACAAATCTTAACCACACATTGTTATCACAATCAATTCATTGTTATTTATATTATTTGGTCCGTCATGTGGGTAAGTTTTTAATAGTAATAAATCAATAAAAAAAAAAATACATGATCTAATTAAATAATTCAAAACGCCATTCACAAACACTCCAATTCTTAGAGGGGTGTATTTAATTAGGATTTTTAAAGATTTTTTAAGATTTTAGAAATCCTAGTGTATTTAATTTAGATTTGTTAAAACTTTTAAATATTTTTAAAAATCTTGTTGTATTCAATTAGAATTTTAAAAAGTCCTACAAAATCCTGGTGTGTATTTAATTTATTTGAGACTATGATTTGTTAAGACTTTTTAAGATTTGGTGGAATTTCTAAACAAAAAAACCTTATACGAAATCCTACTTCAAATCTCACCTCTAGAGTAAGGATTTCACGGGATTTCTCCAAAATCTGAAAATTTTAACAAATCCCAAATCTTAAAAAGTCTAAAATGTCACTTGAAATCACAATTGAATACACCCCCTTAGTGGCTCACATTTTTTTTTATTTTTTTATTTTTTTTCCGAATAAGCTACTTTTTTTTTAATGCTCTGAGGTATTACTCGAGAACCATTCCGACGAACCTATCGTGCTTCCTTTATTTTTAGACATCTCACTATTAATATACTCAATGACCTTATTTTTGAAGTGAATCAGGACCTGACTTTGTGACCTGTTAGCTAAGTCATTTCAAGTACACTGATCGCTAGAAATGTTTGCATTTCAACTGTGTATTTTCTGATACTACTGAGCATGACTATTATACATAAATGATATATTATCTTTGTTGCCCTTGGATCAATCTCAGATTTCAAATTCTGGGAAAGTGCTAATTACCCGAGGTTTAGATTAATAATTCAAAAGGAAAAGAATTCAAAATCCAGTGATCTTCTAGCATCATGTACTATTAAATTTAGTTTTAACAAATGTCTTAAATTTGGAGGTTTAAATATTTTGTTTCGTTTACTATTATTTTTTTCTTGGTGATTGGTTTTTTTTCATCTTGGCATTTTCTAGCCACAACAAGATGAAGCGGTGAGAGCCCCCGGGTCCTCCACATTATCCAATCACAAACCGTCCTCCACACAACCTCCTGTTGAGAACGTTCAACACTCTTCTCCTTCTTCTAGTGCATCGTCATCTTCAACCGAACAGGACAAAGATACAGCAGATGAAATCTCGTCTGCAGACAGCTCGAAAAAAGAAGCACTCTCTCTAGAACCTGTTTTGAATGAACTGAAAACGGCACCAGCACAAGCTGTCCTGATGAGCAGTAAGAGTTTGAGTTCTAACAATGAGGAACAAGTGTTTTTGCTTCGGGTCAATCAAAGAGTTATAACTTATAAGAGTACTCTAGAATTCATGCAAATATTATTAGTTATTTCATACAAATTGTAAGTATTTATAATAATGGGATCAACTATCGTTGTTAAAGTGGGTCACTCATGATTTGTTTTTTTGGTCATGGCTAAATGACCCTGACTATAAGGGTTGGTGTAAAGAAATCAGTCCTATATGTATACGGAAGAACATTAGAAATATAATTATTGTGCATCATTCAATCCTCCGACTTCTTTTACTTTTATAAATATATGAGTAAAGATGTTTAAAATGAGTCGTTGGATAATGAAAATTTAAACATTTCATATATCATAACCTGCTGTTAGTTGTAGGGTTTTATCTTTTGACATTGGCACTCACTTTAAAACTTCCCCCAACTTCTATGATGACAATTATACGTAATTTTATTAATACTTTTGTGTCATACAGTCATACTCTAGTCTCTGCCCAGGCATTATAGGTGTTAGAATCAACCAACCACCTAGACAGCACCTAAAGATTTTCATAACATTGCTTCAAGTAAAATAAGCTACTTAACCAAATATTACTGGTTGCAGTTTTATTTGGTCAAAACCGTTAACTTAGCTTTTTTTGCCTAAACCGTAAAAAACAAAACATAGCTTAGTTGCGTTTGTTTAATGGCTTTTTTTGCCTTAACAAATCGACAAGTCAACTGGCTAATACAAGGCAGACCCCAAGGAGAACCGCACCACACGGCGGCCTAAACCAATACAACAAAATGACCCGCACTAAGGGCAGTACACACACTGAAACCCTTAGGCCGAATACAATCACATAAAAACATAAATAACAGAGAAATAGTGACAACAACCCAAGAGTTGAAGACAAAGACCACCGAACTACCAGACCTAGACTTCATCTTCAACCTTTGCCTGCTACCTGCCATTACACTGCACAAATTCCTGCTAATCTAGCACTGCCAATTGAACTACCACCCTCTTCGACATCCAAGTTTTATTAGACTTCCAAATATTACGAGATTTCCATAGCCGCCATATTATGTATGTCGTTAACTGAATATGGGCCTCTGAAATATCTCTGTGATCTAAAGAGGACACCCTTCCCCACCAATCTGAAAAATTATTCGTTGAATCCAGAAAACCATCCCAACTTGCCGGTGACAATTTCCAAACCAGGTTTGCTTTTTAACAGTTGAATAATATGTGCTCTGTTGTTTCTGCCTCCTGTCTGCAGCAGCTACAAATGCAATCTAGTTCTAGACCTCTCTTCAACAAGTTGGCACAATCAGGCAAAATATTGTTAAAGCACTTCCACACAAAATGTTTAATTTTTACCTCTTATTTTCAACTGACAACTCATCTTCCTTCCTTTACCAAGCCTCTTTGATGATTGACTCCCCTCTGCCACATCCATTTTCCTGAATTTCTCCTGAATTAAATGTGAGTATGCTTTAGCAGCAAAAAAACACTCTCTTTTAGCATCCCATTTCCATATCCACCGGTCTTTTTGATTTGGATTGAGGGTATTGATGATTAGTATAGCTGCTCTGTCTTCATCACTGAACAGTTCTCTGATCAAGGCCAAGTTCCATTTCTTGCCACCTGCTTCCAACAGTTCCCAAATCTCCTGCACCATTGGTTCCCCGTTCTGCCTTCTAATTGGCGTACCTGATTGAGT